ATTTAGAGAGATCGATACATGTTCTTGAGATCATGGATCACAAGAAAAGAATGTCGCGATTTTCCGAACTACTATATATGAACTGTCATAAGGCTCATTCTTAGCATGTGGAACAGAAAGGCAATTCCTTATGCTCGGCAATAGGAAGCCTAATATGTACAATGCAGTAAATGAGGCCTGATATCTATTATTGCCAAGGGCATAGCTGGTAGATATCGAAGTAATCCTAGTTAGGTGCAATTGGTTATGGTATAACATATGATCAAGCGACCGTAAAAGGGCTCAAGATAATATGTAGGATTATCAAAGGAACCATATGCAGCCTATGGATCACAAAAGATTCAAATTTCTAATTAGACGTGAACGATTGAGTAAAATCTACCTCGGGATTTGTGTTACTTGTAAGGTGGAACCAATAGGTTTTGGACCCAGTAACCTCTATTGATCTAGAAATGTGAATATCCTTGTTTTCCCAAGTCAGATCACAGTTTGATTGTGATGAAAGTTGGTGCAGTTGCAAACAGAAAATGAATCACAAGTTCATAAGGAAAGTGAGCGCATAGAGCAAGTACGACCCAGTGCGAAAAATCGCAAAGGGGTAGAGTTTTGTTGTCTAGTTACAGCAAGAGACGACCAGAAAGATCTTTTTGGAATTGGCATTTGAGCGAAAGCTATTGATGACCATGATAAGGGATTAGGGAGTCGGGTATATGGCCGTTAGGACAATAAGTCTTTGAGAATAGAGATTGAAAGAAGTATACTATAAAAGCGGAAGTTTTAAGAATAAGTTGGAGATTGTTGGTGTATATACTGAAAGCTTGGCTTTAGATGTATTTACACTTAACCCGTTTGAATGAGAATCATGTTTAATTAAACAGTCTATGTTTTGTTGTTTTGCACTTAGATAGAATGGGTCGTGAGTGGGCGAACAGAAGATCATTCTATCAGTTACTTGCGAAACAAGAATTTGTGGTTCACAACCTAGATGGAAATGAACTCCCCATCTGAACGGTGGTAGTGTTAACCTACAGTTGGTCTTGACTGATTAGTTACACTAGTACACTTTGTATATTAAACGGATCCCATAGAAGAGAAGTTCGCTTTATACTGATCGTCGTAAACGAACTAGGCCTCGGTTAATTACTGCGTGCTCTTAACCCGTAGGATATAAACGGGCATGTGCATGCATTTAATATTACTTTGATTCACATGGGTGAGATTCAGCTTACTGGATCAATATACTTAATGTTGTGGGTAATATTATTGTATGTATGATGTGTTGTTAGAATATTTACGGCCACCGTGTGCGTTAGTTTGATGATGTCCCCGAGATGAGCTCATGAAGGATTATTATGTTAAATCTGGCCAGTAGAATTTATTCCGACATAATAAGAATGTGATGACTGGTACTAGTCTCGGTTATAGATCTCAAATTAATTTAATTGTCAGTAATTAAATTAATTGGTGGACATTATATCTTAAACACGGGGAGGTAAATCGTGTAATTAAAATTGGAGACTCGAATATAACTCGGGAATTAAATTGGGAGTTTATTCAATAGTACTACTTTAGTGGAATGACTGTATTATTCCTATTTGGGTTTGGTAGGCTTGGCCTATAGTATAATCCAAATAGGAGAAACCCAATTTAATACCTCCTTAGGGTCCCTTTTGTAGCCTAAAAATACATCACATCTCTTCGGATTAGGAGACTAAGAGAGAGAGAACAGATACTAACCTGAGATCGAGATTGGCGTCGCCCCTTTGTGCTCTCTTCTCTCTCTTGTGTTCTCTTCTTCTTCTCCAAGTAATCCCAGTAGAGATATCTCCGATCTGTCACCCACCAAGATGATCGGATGAGATGTCGGGTAATACAACAGAAGATCTGAGGTTTTCGAGTGATCTATATATATTTATGCAACTCCGTAATATATATATTCATCCCCTTAATTTATCTGTAATTCGCGGGGTTGTCTCTTCTACACGAAAAAGACAGATCTATGCAAATCGGATATATTGGGAGTGCCCGGGTGCCCGGCGACCTCCAACAACCCTACCATTAAGACCGACACGATTCCGGCGACCAACCGCTGTGACGGCGGTACACACGCCCCCACGCACCACCGAAGCCTGCCTGGTGGATGTACACGCGCAGCTTAAGGGATCTAGTCCATCTCGTGCGTTGGCCTAGTCTTCCTGTCCACCAGCCCACACGCACAGCTCGTAAGTAGTTGGCCCAGGTATCAGCAGCCCGCAGAGGTTGAGCCCAAGTGAGATGCGCGGCCCAGATGCAGGAGAAGCCCAACACCGAGGCCCGTCTGAAAGTGGATTCAGCGCGTGGCCCGCGCGCCAGTAAACCGAAATTAAACCTCAAATCGGGCTTGAAATAACAATCGAAAATCAAATATGGTTAGTGAAAGGGGTCGGTTGAACCAGATCGGGTCGGGGCTGACTCGGATCTTGTTCGGGGATGCTAAATCGGATATGTTGGTGTGCTGGTTCTGTTCTGTGGTGCTGGTCACGGATCTGGACCGCGAAGGACTCGGTCGTGGCTCGACATGCGGGGTTGTACGGACGCGGGTCGAGGATAGCTCACTGGGACCATGCTCGCGTACGGATTCACTCGGGATGCATGGCGATGCGAGATGAGGCATACGGATCTGAGGTCGCACGCACGGATATAACTCAGGATGACTGGTTCGGTGCTCGCCGATACGGACGAGAGCAGGGGTTGCGCTGGTGCTCGTGGATGGTTCTGGGCGAAGGCTGGTAGGGACCGCGCGTACAGAGACGAGTGCAGCCGTGCGGGTGTACGGTGAGTACGGACGCGGGTCGGCAGCTGTGAACGGTCACTGGTGCACTAAGGACGGGCGACGTACGGACTGCGAGAGGGCTGACGGGCTGGCCCGCGACACCTGGATGCTCGGACGGCGTGGGTTCGTTGTGCTGAGGTGGTGCGACAGAAGGGCGTGGATGGCTGATCGACGGCGGTTCGGGTCGCCGACGACGGTGGCTCGCCGGATAGAGGGAAAGGCGGCCGGATTTGGTGTGTAGGGATGAAGATGAGCTAGGAAAAATGAGCTTGCTATTGAATGTAGTGTGGAGGATTTAGATCTAGGGTTTTGAGTTGTGTTGGGAGGAAGATGAAGTCAGAAGATGTGTTATATTTATAGTGGAAGGAAATTAGGGTTCTTGATGTTATTGGGCTTAAGGCTTGGGCTTTTAAAATCGGGCTAGTAAAACTGAACATTGACATAGGCTAGATATTAAATGTTCGGGCCAAGTAGAAAATGATCGGGACTAAGACTAAATTAATTGGTCGACCAAATTCATAACGGGCCAGGATTTAAAAATTGAAAATGGGCTCGATTTTTAAAATGGACTGAATTATTGAACATAGGCTCGATTTAAGCAAGTGGGTCGGAATAAAATCGAACATGGGCTCGATTTTTAAAATGAGCCGGCTAGAATAATTGGGCTCGCTCAAAAAATGATCGGGTCAAATAAATTGGTTAGGGTATTGGGCCAAGGCTCGGCTCGTCGGGGCTTCGATCCGACTTTAATAAAATTCTGATAATTCCAAGGCTCGATTTTATCCGAAAATAAAACCGATAGTTTAGCGAAATAAATTCAATTTTTGAAATTAAAATCGAATAAATTATCCATGGTTTAGACTAAAAATTTAATACTCGATTTAATGAAAATAATAATAATTAAATGCATCAATTAAGGAAACTTTCTATTAATAGAAATAAAGTCGAGCTTCATTAATAGTAAAAATATTTGGGGCGTTACATCCAATGCTATAAAAAACTTGGTGTGTTTCATTATTGTTTGCCATTGTCGACTAGGCTTCCTCAATAAAAAAAAAAATTAAAATATAAAAAAATTAAAAATTAAATATTAAATATTGTTTTTAGGCCAAATTACATAAGGGTAATCTCTATGTGTAAGTTCAAAAAAGGGTTGAATTCATAGAGAATCTTCCTGCCAATGTTCCAAGTTGGAAAACCAGGTTCTTTTTTGTTCGATCTTCTATAACCCTTCTTTTTAGCTGTAACTAGATAACCTCTAAGCCTCCTCATGTTGCGCGTCCACCATCCAACCCTGTCTTCGAATTCATCATCCAATCCCGGAATGAGTTTACCATCAATTCCTCTTTGATGGTCGATAGTGAGAAGTTTTTGTTCCATTGTGGTCTCACTAAAGAACATTTCCCTACTTTCTCGAACGCCGCGCTTGGTAGGAAACTTGATTTATTACTTCTACTTTTGTTTCTTTATGATCTTATATATATTGTGTTTTTCCTGCATAGTATCTCCTTAAGTCCATGAAATAGACATCTTCTGGTGCTAAGGGGAAACCCCTCTCCTCCTCTACCTGTAAAGGGAAAGCTCCTCAATCCTGCACTGAAGGTTATTCTAAGGAGCTCTCAGCGAGCTCGGTCCCCTAAAACAGACTGCCAAACCAACTACTCCTCCTCCTCCTTCTCTTTGGCCGTCGACCCAAAAAAGATCGGGCTCAAAACCTATTCCTAGAAGCTCATAGAAACCTCAGGTAGAGCAGATCAACATCGATGTGCCCAACAACCTTGCCACAAACCCTGACGAGGTCATTATTTCTACATACCTCATGCCGGTGCTCCCCGCCGAGGAGACTAAACGGTAGGGAACTAATCACCAATGTCGTTTAGCTCACGCGACCAAGGCCCTTGCATAGGTATGTGTCTTCTTTTATTGTGTGTCGATACGGTAGTTGGTATGTTTTATGGTCTAAAGTCCATTTATCTTGAAGCTTCTTACCTCCCTCGTCCACATGCTCGATGAGGGGAATCATTCGACCTTGCCATCCTATGAGGACCTGCACCAGGACCTCAAGGATATGAAGAGGGAGAACGACCAACTCACTCTCGACAATGACAAGTTAAAGAAAGAGATTGGTCAAATTAACAAGAAGCACGCGGCTACAATAACCGAGCTTAAGGAGAAGAAAGAGATAGAAATGCATATTGGCGGCAATTTTGGTCGGGCTTTTGGTCGACAAAGTTTTCTAGAATCAAGGGCAGAGCTAGCTTTTTCCTGGGTGTGTCGCGAACAGGTTGTGAAGGACTACTCTAAGGAAAATCCTAGCCATTGATTTGTGTATTGTGTAGAACAATGACTTATATTAATATATTAAAATACAAATTTATAAAAAAATAATAATTATTATATTTAAATTACGTATAATAAATAAATTAACTTAATGGAGTTGGCCATTTTGTCTCGGTCGTTTACCGGTGGCCGGCAGCCATTGGCTGGCCGAATCCTTAACCCTAGCGATAGGAATCCCCACCTGCAACTGTCGGATCTGTTACTACTTCATCTTCTAGCTGGAGCTGCCCGAGGCAGGCAAGGCCTCCCTGTGGCCACTGACCCCAAGTTCATCTAATCCCAACTATTTTCACGCCAAAAATTTGTTCGTGGTAGCCGCCCTTATTGTTGTTGGCGCCTCATTTCAACTCGCAATACCTTACTCTCAGTGTTCGTCGCCCCGAAAAAGCTAGTAATAAGTATTATAATCACGCTTCCCCAAAGCCCTTAATTCTAGAAACCCTAACTACATAGTGTTGATGACAAAACAGACGTACTGGTGCAAGAGGCGCCAACTCAATCGACTATGGCTCCTCAAGATGAAATTACAGATGCACTGTCTTACATCGATGACGACTATAACAATCCAGTGGTCAAAGAGGATATGCAAAGGTTGGCTAAAAGGAACTAAATAAGCGTTTCTGGAGGGGTCGTCGCGCGAAGGGCGGTGACATCTCAAGTTGAAGCGGCGGCGAAGAGGGCACGACGAGGGGACAGGACAGCAGCGAGGAGGACCTGATTTTGAGGGCTAAAAATCAGATTTAGGATTGGGCTTTTGTTTGAGAATTAGACAAATTCTAGGGATTTGATTGCAATTTTAGAAACTTAGGAATAATTGCAATTTGATCCTTTAGGGCCGTCTATAATTCATCTGAAGTTACAATAATTGCACTCTGGCCCTTGGCTTATTTATTTATTTAATTAGTGCATATTTAGTTTATTTTTTGTGCATATTTAGATAATATGAAATGCATATGCATACTTAGTTGAGAATATTTAGTCCATGTTATTGTTGTAAAAGGCATATTTTCACTGCACGTTTAATTTATATGAAATGTACCTTTAGTTCATACGACGTGTATATTTAGTTTATAAACAATGCATAATTAATTGATATTATTAATGCACATTTAGTGCATAAAAGATACATATGCAGTTCATAATTAGTTCACTATCAACTGCGTATTTCGAGCGAAAATTTACTTCATAAACAATGCATATATGGTTCGTAAAATAACGCATATTTATCATATATGTTTAGTTCATATCAACTGCATATTTACCATACATATTCAGTTAAAATAGGTGAATAATTTTTTTCTTATATAATTAATTTGATATATATTTTTGTTTTGCTTTTTATTATATAATTAATGTAATACATAATGCATATTCAATTCAGACATTATGCATATTTAGGTAATATAAATTCATAATCAGTTTATCACAATGCATATTTAGCATAGATACTTAGTTCATACAAAATGCATATTCAGTTCATACCAACTGCATATTTCGTTCATAAACAATGCATAATTAGTTAATATTATTGTTGCACATTTCTTTCATAAAAAATACATATTTAATTCACATAAACTGCATATTTCGGTCAGATCATAATCGTTTATTTGTGTATATTAATCAATTGAAATTTACATTAAATATGTAATAAAGATGATAATTATTATATTTAAATTAACTATATAAAATTCACATATAATTGCATATTTTAATTGCATATTTTCTTCATGCAAAAGGCACATTTAATTCATACGTTGTGGATATTTAGTTCATCATAGTGCATCTTTTTATGATATTATTGTTGCATATTTATTATATAATGAAATTGATATAATATTTTATTTGTCCTTTTATTATATAATTACTGTAATACATAATGCATTTTTAGTTCATTCATTAAGCATATTTAGGAAATAAAAATCATATGTAGTTCATCCTAATGCATGTTTATTATACTTATATTAATTATAAATATTATGCATATATAGTTCATTAATTATGCATATTTACTTCATACAAAATGTATATTTAGGGAAGTCAATAAAACCCGTAGGGTCGGGTTACTCGCATTTTCGGGTCGGGTTCGGGTAGAATTATGTTACTCGAAGCCCGGGTCGGGTCGGGTACGGGTATAGTAGGCAAACCCATTACCCGAACCGATTACCCGCAACCATTGAATCTTAATATATATATACACACACACACACATACACACACACACACATACACACACACACACACACACACACACACACACACACATATATATATATATATATATTTGTAACTTATTATAAATATAAATGTAGTCATGTGCTATTTTTAAACATTAGATTGCCTATTATAATTTTGATTAATGGTTATTTTATTTTTTATGATTTATTATCATTTTTTGTTAATTGTACAATTAAAAAATAAATACTTAATTTTTAAATGTTATAATATTAAATAGACTATAAAAGATAAATAATTATATCTCGTTATTTATTCCAAAACTAATATAATTTTTTTATAGCCTTTTATTGTCAAACTTAGTTAATAAATTATTTGTTACATTATAATTAATTGTGAATTTTTTTTTTTTTTCCATATGAAACAAGATGGGTCGGGTAAAGCCCAAATTTAAGACTCGAGTTACCCGTTTACCCAACGAAAACTCATTAACCCGCCGGGTAAAACCCAACCCGAACCCGAAGATTACTAGCCGGGTAACGGGTCGGGTTTTGGTGGGGTAAATTACATGCGGCTCGGGTTCGGGTTTGCCAAAACATGTACCCGACCCGACCCGACCCGACCCATTTACATCCCTATGTATATTTAGATCATCAAAGTGCATATTTAGTTCATGTAATGTACAATCATTGCTATTTATTTGGGTAGATCAATGACTTATATTAATCAATTGAAATTTATACTAATTATATAATAAAAATATAATTACTGTGTTCAAATTAATTATATAAAATGCACATTTAATTGCATATTTTCACTGCATATTTAGTTCATGCGAAATGCGCATTTAGTTCATACGTAGTATATATTTGATTCATAAACTGTGCATACTTGGTTGATATTATTGGTGCACATTTAGTTCACAAAGATTGTAAATTTGGTTCATACCAAATGCATATTTAGGTCATATAAAGTGCATACATCTGAGTGCATGTTTTCTTCATACATAATGCATACTACGACCTATGGTCAATGTTGGAAGTCCACTGTCAACGCTAGAAGTCAATAGGTCTCGTCAAAGTCAACACTAGAAGTCAACAATCAACATTGGAGTCAAGGATCAAGGTTAACGGTTAAATGGTGTAAATAATAATTAAATAATTAAAATACAAAATTAAGGGTTAAATCTGTTGGGGATCGGTCAGGAATGTCGAAATTATGCAAGTCACAAATTGTCTACGAATTAACTCTAATTGTAGGGGAATTCCTCCTCGTCTTTGGTCGTGCGCCTCATGGTTGTTCGTCCTATTGCCTCGTCAAGCCTCCTGGTGTCCAAGTCACGTCTCGCATTGTCTTGAGCGTCGTGCCACTTGTAACACCCCGCCTACTATTACTAGACTTACTAAAATCAGAGTAAAATTTTTGAGCTTTATAATTTGAAAACACTTATTTAATTTTCGAAAACTCTACTTAATTTTGAAAACACTTTATCTCTCTCGCGGGAATGCTACCTTGCTACTAACTCACTCTTACTTTCTCAAGACATTTAAACGATCATGCATACAACCAAACCAAGTCAAAATGAAATTAAACATGCATAGTCGTATGAATCATAATGTCATAACAAGTCTGATAATGCGAAAACTAACAGCCTAAGTCCATTACATGCTAAAACAAACTCATAGTTCAAATAATCTTATGACATGATTTCCAAAATATCCACTTGCTGTAGACCACCATATGGATGTAAAGTCGGCGTTTCTGAATGGAATATTGCACGATGAAGCTTATGTGAAGTAGCCAGAAGGGTTCAAAGACCCTAGTAACCCTAAATATGTCTACAGACTCAAGAAGGCACTGTATGATTTGAAACAAGCACCTTGTGCTTGGTATGAAAGACTTACTATGTATCTTCTGGAGAAGGGGTTCAAACGATGGGGAGTCGATCAGACATTCTTTGCCCTAAAGACCAATACAGACCTGCTGGTGGTTTAAATATATGTAGATGACATCATCTTCGGGTCAACCTCGAAGAAACTGGTCAATCACTTTGTTGAGCTTATGTCTTCTGAATTTGAGATGATTCTGGTAGGTGAACTTTCTTACTTTTTGGGCCTTCACGTGAAGCAAGGTAAAGATGGTATCTCTTTGCATCAAAGTAAATATGCTAGAAACCTTGTTAAAAAGTTTGGCCTTGAAAATGCCAAATCTCCTCAGACTCTTATGGGCACTCACATAAAAGTGTCTAAGGATGATGAAGGTACATCTGTAGATCAAACTCTTTACCGTAGTATGATTGGTAGTCTTTTATATCTTACTGCCAGCAGACCTGACATTTGTTTTAGTGTTGGGCTTTGTGCCAGGTACCAGGCTGCTCCCAAAGAATCTCATTTGAAGGCAGTCAAGCACATCATCAAATATGTTAGAGGTACATCTGACTATGGGTTAGTTTATTCTGCTGATACGAACCTACATCTCGCAGGTTACTGCGATGCAGACTGGGCCGGAAATCTAGATGATAGGAAAAGTACTTCCGGTGGTTGTTTCTATATAGGGTCAAACCTGGTCTCATGGTTCTGCAAGAAACAAAACTGCATCTCCCTATCTACAGCCGAAGCTGAGTACATTGCCGTGGGGAATTGTTGCTCTCAATTAGTCTGGATGAAGCAAATCCTATCTGCATATGGTATGAAGGTACATTCGGCTCAGCTTTTTTGTGATAACACTAGTGCAATAAATATCTCAAAAAATCCCGTCCAACATTCTCGTACCAAGCATATTGACATTCGCTATCATTTTATTCGTAATTTGGTGGAGGATGGAACTATTGTGTTGGATCATGTACCTACAGATGATCAGCTTACTGATATTTTCACAAAAGCACTTAATTCAAAACGCTTTTTGTCGCTAAGGAAATCCTTAGGAATGTGTGCTATATAATATCTATGCATGTTGTGTCTTTTGCATTTATATGTATATATATATGTACATATATTGTGTCGCATATTAGAGTCATCTTGCATTTAGGCATAATAGTATGTAGGTGCATCCCAAGAATTTTCCTTGAATAATTTGTCGTTGGATAAATTAATTGATGTTCTATGGATCCCAACTGATCAGTTTGGTTGAGCTCGTCACAATGATCATTTAAAAACTACTTGTAAGAGCTGCTCTCGTGAAAGTAGGCATCGGGCAACTATCACATGGGGTGTTTCCATGATCGCCTGTGAAACGAGTTACGTGCTTAGAAATAATCGAGGGGTGATAGCTGCAAGTAGTCATCCCTTGCGGATGCAGGTTCAGTGGTGAAATAAGGTTGGTCATCTTTCAAAGCCCTCTCAGCATATTCAAAATAAACTTTTTGCAGGATGATTCACACTTTAAGTAATGGGCTTGACGTTGCGTATAGTTAATGTTAATAAGTGAAATGGTGTGGAA